AAATATCTTTATTCAAAATGGATTGAGTTCTGACCCTGATGCTTTCAGGAGTACCTTATTATCAGGTAGCTTCGGAAAAGCATGTTGTTAAACCTGTTGGTTTCCCACAGAATTTCATTAAAAAGGTGTGCAGTCAGTCACATAGCCCTTCCTTGAGGGGCAGTGAAACAGAAACTTGATAGAAACACTGAGGAGGGGAAAGATACAGCCGCTACAGCACCTGGGCCTCCATCTTTCACTTCCTTTCCCAACTCTGCCCCTTTGAGATGTACTTTGAGAAGATGGAGGAAGCTGCTGCGGTTGGGGTCATCACCCTGGATCTCGCTGCTCCTCTGGATCTGGAGATGGGAGTGGCTCAGCACTGGGAGTTCCTTCCCCAAAGCCCAGTGCTGACTCTTCACATTCAGTCCTGTCCCCCAGCTTTCCCAGGACAGCAGTGCGGGAGAGGAGGCAGGAGCAAGGAGGGACTAAGAAAGTGCCTGCCTTGGTCCAGGCTGCCCCCACCCCCCTACCCACCCTGGGCCACCAGGGAAGGAGCCGCCGTCTGGAATGGGTGCAGGGAGAAGGAGGGGGGACAGGGAGTTGGAATCCAGAGCAGAGGGTGGAGAGGCTGACAGCAGTTACTGCCATTGTTTTGGTACAGACTAAGCTATGGTTCAGAAGTTGTTGTCTGGCTGTTGGCTTTTTCTCTTCAGTTCTGGCATTCAGTGAATGCATTCGATAAATTTATGGTTTGCTAATATGAGTGTGATATGCATGTGCATTTTTTTTTTTTGGCTACTGAATAGGCAATAAAACTAAGAAGCCAAATGCTAAGATGGTTATTGTTTTACTGATTAATTGAAAGTAGCCTAACTGTGGGAGGCACTTGCCCACACTACTCCAGGTAGTAATTTTTGTTTGGTCTACTAAAAAAAACTACTTGGAAAGGTGCAATATCAGATAAAGGACTGGAAGGCTCCAGTTCTGCTTTCACTGGGCACCCGCTCGCTCACTCTGAGATGCTGGAAGGAAAGGATGGGAGAGGAGAGTCACTTCTCAGCGGCCTGCCTGACTCCTCCTCTTCCTCTCCCTGCCTGGAGCCACAGGTTCAGTTTTTAGAGTATGGGGCCTGGTGCTACGCCTAGCAGTGGTATTTTAAAGTATTTCTCAGTAGTTTTTACGATTATCAGTCTTCACTTGCAGAGTTTCTTTTTATTTTCAAGGGCACCCAGGATAACCATTTAGCTCCCTTTCAGTCGCCCCCTCACTCACTCATGCCCAGTCAGGAAGATTAATAATGTTAACTGATTTACTGTCACTGCAAAAAAAGCATTAGTTAATTAGACTTTTACACCTCAGTCAGATGGCATTAGACACCCTTTGTGCACTTTAACTCAAGGATGTTAAAGACCTAAATCTTTGAGAAAAGAGAAAAGAAAGGAAAAGGACAGGCACTTTTCCAGTTTAAGCTGCATGTTGGTCCATGTTAATTAGGCATTTGTCCCTTAGTCTGGAGGTGATAGAAAATGCCAGTTACTGTGGTATTTAACTGACATCAAACTCCTGTCCAAATAATTCAGTTGGGCCCAGCCTTCTCTCTTAATTGGTGGGAAGGAAAACGTCGGCACACACCCAGAAGAAGGAGGAAACTGTTACTTACATTTAACATTTAAAAATTTCATTCTGAAAGGATCGGAAGAACACTTGTATATTTTTTTTATTAACTCTCCAGTTGGGCTTTTTTAAAAACAGAAACAACAGAATCTTTCCTAAAACTTAAGCTACCCTAGATAATTAGCTTTTGTAAGTCTTCAATAAATGAAAGTTTAGTAATTGTTATCCAAGGTCAAAAAGTAGTTATTGTCATCCAGGGGCCCTTGTAGATTTATGTGTATGTTTGGCAGTGTTTTAAAAAATTGACATTTAATTTTCTAGCTTATGGTCAGATTTCTTTATCAATATCAGAAATTCATAGTGGGTTAAGGTGCCAAGCAATATACATGTTTTAAAAACCAGTAGATGGTGGCATATTAAAAGAAAAATGACTTGATGGTTTTGTAGGAATAATTAGATGTGAAACACGCTTTTTTTTTTTTTTTTAAGATTTTAAGCAACTTCTTCCTAGTTGCTGGAGAAGATAATGCTCAGTGACAAGAGCATAGTTTACCTTATTTATTAGGTATATAAAACAATTCCAAAAATAATGAAAAGATTTTTTTCTCAGCAGGGGTAGCCTTATTTGACTTTAAACCTTAGTCATTTTGTCTATGGTTCCTAGCCAAAGATTCACACATTTGAGAGCACTTCATTTTCAGTCTTGAACTACTTTTTCGTGCACTGAATGAATGCAATATGTTAACACTCCTGTACAGCCCAGAGTTGCTCGGCTGCCCCTTGGCCTGCCTGCCCGGTACTGGCTGAAAAGGTACCATTGTTTGTTCTGCAAACACTGGGTGATGTTTGTTTCCAAGGTGACTGGTTCTATTGCTGCCCTTTAAGCAAGGGGGGATGGGGGAGAGAGAAAGTTGGCGTTAAAACACCTGAGAGCATCCTGTTCTGGATACAGTCTGTGTGTGTGTATGTGTGTAAGTTGAAATAGTATTTTAACTGAAGTATTGGGAGAAAAGGGGATAGTGTGGAAATGGGGAAAAAAGAGATTATCAGTAAGTTAAAAATATCAGTAAGTTCTGATATTTAACTCCGTATACTCAGAACGAATGTAATGGTAAGAAGTGTTAGAATTAAACATCTGATTAGACTGAAATTAACTGTTTTTACATTTGAAAAACTAGAGTCAAGGGAAGAAAAAATATTTTAGATGGTAACCATTGAAATGTTAAATTTGTTTTTGCATGAAATAGTTCTTCAGCTATAACCTGTAAGCAGCTATTCAGATGAACAAATGTTTGGGAGTATAATTAAAACTGGTTATTGATCAGATAGCTGGGCCCTCAAAAAAACTGTAAGAGAACATGAGATATAAAGAAATTGGTTTCACTTTTAAGTTCTGTAAAAAAAAATTAGAAAAATGTTAAATAATTGAAGTATATTCGTGTCAAAAATTTTCCAAAAAAATAACAAAATAGATTTAAAAGCATTTTGGTGATGTATATGGACTCATTCATCAGTGAGAAATTTTAGGTTCAAACTAAGAAAAAGAAGATTCCTCCCTTCTTGGGCCCCCACCCCCTCTTTTTTTTTTTTTTTTTATTGTACGTGGATCCTGTTAACAGAACTTTGCCTTTTCACTCCTATCGGGTTTAGTACAGTTCATGCGCAGGTTTCAGTAAACATTAACTACTTTTATCAGGGCTTGCAGTGTGCTGAATGGTTAGCAAAGAGAGTGTACTGCAAGAGACAGATGAAAATGAGAGAGTCCAAGGTCACATGGACGTTGAATTTTTTTTTTAATTATTGAGAACATAGAGAAAAGACACCAAGTTTCACGCTTTAAGTATCTTCTCTTTGGTCATGTGGGCCTAAGACAAGGTTACTTTGCCTAGGCTTTCTATGTACTAGGGTTAAAACAGAGTTCTTCAGATGCTGCTTCTGAATGGCAAGGCACAAGTGATTTTAAAACATTGTTTTTTCTTTCCTTTCATTAAAAAAAAGTCTCAGCTTTATTCAGGGCCTCCTTCTAGGATGAAAGGTTCTCAGGTCCCAAAAAAGAACTACTGTAACTTTTCTTATGGTTTCTCTGAAAATCTCTTTCAGTTTTATAGGGATTTCCTTTTTTTCCTTTCTCAGATTATCTGGGATTGCCCTCTGATAACCAATTTCGTTTCTGGAGTCAGCACAGTCGGTCAGAAACCAAGGGCTAGAATGAAATATTGCCAAATACAGAATAAACATGCTTGTTTGGGAAATCATGTAATATTCTAAAACTTTCGCCTCTGTGTATCCTTTTCGAAAATAGGAATGTGATTTGTGCTCCTTTTTAGTTAAAGGACATGCAAGTTTTACAATTGCTGACTCACAATAAAAATTACCCTCTTCCCGCCCTTAACGCCGTCTGTGTGGCAGCCCTCGAAGTTCGCACGGGGCGCCGTGTCTGCGTCTGCCCTGGCGACCATGCCGCCAGCCCTGAAGGGCAGAGCTGCGACGAGGGAACTTGGCCCGCGCCTTAGGTCGTGTCCCTTCCCTGGAAGCCCTGCACTGAGGCGGTCGGGATGGATTTGGTCCGAGCCGCGGGCTCAGGGGTGGCCGGCCGGGCCCGGGGAGACCGCCGGGGCGGAGGGCGGCCTGGGCACGCTGGCCCTTGCCCAGGGTCGAGGAGCCTTTGTGCATAGGAGAGGCCGTCTAAGCAGAAGTGCCTTCGCACTGATGGAAGCGCGTCAGCTGCTGGCCCGGGGGACTCGCCCGTGCCCTTCCTCGCCGCGCGCTGCGACCGGGAAGCGAGCGGCCGTCGGCCAGGCCTGCCGGGGTCGGGGGGGCGCTGGTCCAGCCGGGGCCCTCTCGGGCTGCCCGCCCCATCTCGGCACCCGCGCTGGGCGGCCCCGTGAGCGGGCAGCGGCGCCGTCAGTCAGGGCGGCGGGCGCCGATTGGCCGGCCGCCGACGGGGGCGGGGCGGGGGCGGGGCTCGAGGCTGGCCTCCGGGTGGGCTGCGCCGGCGGCTCTTCCTAGAAGACCTTGATGCGTTCTTCTCAGCTGGCGGCGGCTGAGCGGCGACGTAAAGAACCGCCGGAGATTTGCGAAGAGCCCGTTTAGTAATTGAGCTAGTTTTTAAAAAGTGAATTCGTCTCAGGGAGAGATTAGGAAATGTATGTGTCCCGAGCGCCGTCCTCCCCCTCCTTTTTGGGGGGGGGGGGCGGCTGCTGTGAGGCCAGTTAGCCTGTGCCCACTTGGAAAGTTTCCGAGGTTTTGCATAGGCGTGAGCTTGCCCGGCCGCCTTCTGTCTGTATTTCCCAGAATAAGTCCGCGTTAGAACCGCGGATGTACCTGATGGCTGTTAAGGAGCTAGGAAATCCTCCTCAGAGCCCTTGTACAGGGAGGAGGGGCTGGAAGGAAGAGGGATGGGGGAGGAGACGAGGATGCAGGCAGGACCGTTCTGGTCCTTTCTGTGCGCTCCCGCAGTCTTGGGCGGCGTTCTGAAACGACCCGCCTTTTGAGAAAGGAGGCAGCGGGCCAGAGAGAACCGAGCCCGGCCGGGGCGTCGGGCCGGGAGTCCCCGCGCTGCCCACGGGGCTGCAGCTGCCGCTGCGCCTCTCCTGGAGGGCGGCGTCTCCCCGGTCCCCTCCGGAGCAGGGTGCTGATAGTCATACCGAGCCCTCGTCTGGCACGCGGTTCTTGGTGGTGTGTACTTCAAGTACGTGACCAGTGAGCACGACAGCTTGTGGGGTCGCCATCAGCCTCTCTTGTGCCACCGGGGCGCCGGCGGAGTGTGCCCTGGCCTCCCCGGCAGGCCCCGCTCTGGGAGCTGGCCCTGGATGGTGCACGTGGCTCCTGCCCACCCGCGTCGCGTGGCCTGCTCTCTGAACCGGGGGCCCCGCCGCCTGCGCGGGAGACTTCGCCCCCGCCCTATGAGCGTCGTAGGCCAGCTCCAGTGGCGTCCATCGCACAGTCCCTCCACTTTGTGACTTGCTTCATTTTTGGTGTGCCTTCTCTGGTAATCAGTTTTTGCTGAGCCATAGCGTCCAAAACAGTGATGCTTGAGCGGGGGAAAAACGTTCCCCTGACACACGTGCCTGGCACACTCGAGGAGACTCACATTCAGTAGGCCTGTTGTAAGGCTGGCGTTTGTCCAGTCGAAAAAGCTTCCCTGGCGATTCTAATGAATACCCCTAATCTTTCAAAACTGTATGTATAAACAGGTTACTTGTACATTTATGTCTGATGAGACGAATACGTTTGAGTTACTGGAGATTTTTTTGAAAAGAGAGTTAGGAAACGATGCCTTAAAATTCTCCCATCTGATGCTTGTTGCAACCTCGAGTTTCCTATTAAGCGAGGAATTGTGGTACCTGTGCTAGAACCCTGATGGGCCGTCTGCACGGGCAGGTGTAAATGCCACTAATTAATTTTTTAAGAAATCGGCACTCTGACAGAATTATCAGGGATGCTGAGTAGCTGGTACCAGATGTTTCTTTTGTTAAGGCCGTGGAGAGGTTATGTCACGGGGAATAAGGCTATGGACATTTAATCCTTGGTCTGAGGCTGTGGATTTGGGGATGCTGAATATTTTCTTTAAAAAGGGTTGGGCAGGGTGTATGTTCTGGTTTTTAGTCAGCCTTTCCCCCTACACAGCTCTTGCAGTATTATCGAACGTGGAGGTGTTTACTCAATTATCATCAGGCCCAGCTCCTGTTAGGAGACGGTAAATGGTGCTTGAGGCCTCTTTATCTAGACTCTCTTGCTCACCATTTTGCCACAGCTGAAGGGACAGTCTGTGCCTCTAACTGAATTCAGTCCTTTTTTACTCCTTTACTGTGGAACAACAGGAAAGTCGACCGCTCATCATTTCGTGTGCAGACTTTACAGCCTCTGAACAGCCTCTGCTTTTGCAGTTTATGAATGCACCATTTGTTGTTTCGAGCACAACTGTTAGATACAACTGGCATTGCAGCCCACTCTGCCTGTGACCAGAGTACATCACTGCCGCCTTTTTTTTCCTTTTTTTTTTTTTTTTTTGTTTCTACATAGGCCAGATTTTTGCTTTAAATACCACCATTTTGTCCACACTATAGTTTCTTTGACCTAACTTAATTTTTGAAATGTAGGTTTCAGAAATGAGTTTTAACTTGCTCAAGCTGTTAGTACAGGGGTTCTAAATAAGTGTGTTTTACTTTATTAAAGAAGATTATTTTTGTGGCTTGGTTTTGCATACATGTTTTTTAAAAAATAATCTCAAAGAAGCATGGTGACTTTGAAATTTTATTTTAAATTGTGTTGCAGTTAGAAAGTTTTGTCTTTTCCTGGGGCATTATATTTCCTTCTTTTTAAGCTTTACACACAATCTCTTTGTCACCAAGTATTGCTAGGTATTGTCTTCAGTCTAGAGTTTAAAGGAAGCTATCAAAACTTTTAATGTGGTTTTCTAGAGTATTTTGAATATCATCATTACAAATAACAATTTATCATTATTTTCTCCTCTTGAAAAAGGGTCCTATCCAAGAATGATACCATTAACGTTAAAAAATTTTCACTTCTGGCTTTTTTTTTTGTTTCTCCTATATATTCTTGGGCCTTGTAATTATATATATTATATCTATATATACCTTGACATTATTCCTTCTTTACATTTTATTTAATCGTGTTTTAGTCAAAAGAGTGTATTAACATTTTTCTGCTGTGTTTTACATGTTCGACACCTGCACAAAATTGTTATTTCTGTTTTTAGGCCTTGCTCTGGCTAAGGAGACATATTTCTGTTAAAACAGCAGTAAACATCCTATAACAACTAACTCTACAAGACTCGGCATCCTGGAGCTTCCAAAAATGAAATAGTCATTTGCTGAATGTGCAGCAACTTTTCTGTATTTGAATTTTAAAGTAGATATTTGGGTTTCAAGAAATGTATTTATTTGTTGTCTTTCAAAGAAGTTATGCAGGCCTAGGGTTACATTTACATTTTTGTTAAGATTGTGACATACAAACGTGTTTAAGGAAAAAAGTGTAATCTTTTGTGAGATTCATCCTTTCCTTTTCGTCTCACTGTTTAGAGGGGGCAATCTGCCTTTCTGTGAAGATTAAGTCTTCCACGACCTGAAGAGTCCTTCAGGTTGATGTAAAGACTAAACGGCTACAAACAACTTCACTAGAAAGGGAGCCCCGGTTTTACTGCTTCCAAGAGCAGTTTTCTCAAGCTGGAGTCTGCTCTTAACTTTTAGAGCACATTTTCCATACACGGTCCTGCATTTTCACGCTTGGTTTTGAGCTGCACCTTTAAGGTGGGTAAACTCTCATTGGACCTTTCTCCCTTTACCGTAGTTTCTTGGCTGCTCATCTCATGTGATTAATATGTGTGTTGCTTAAAATGGCAAGTGAAACATCACCAGGTATTTTCACCAGGTAGAAACTGCTTTTCCTGTGTCAAAACAACCAGTGTGGCTTAGTTGATGCTCCTGTTGCTAAGCAGGTAAATTTCTGGTCTGCAGGTTGTCTGTTAACCCCGTAAATGCCTAATGTCAAGCAAAAAACATCAAGAGGAAGAAAAATCCCAGCAACTTGATGCTTTCTTCTTACATAGTGCTTCGTTCAAGTGCATGAAACTGGGCCTACCTCATCCTAACATTGACTTACCTAAATCGGAGGATTTACATATTTTCAGGGGGAAGAGGAGGGTTAGGAGCTGCAGAGGGCTGGGAAGTTGGTAGTTTACAGTGAGACAACAGTCCAGGGAGCTGTTAGTGAAGAGCTCATGCTATATGGTGAAAATTGTGCGTTTGAGTTCAGTTAGTAATGGGCTAGCGTTTTTCTTTGAGACTTTTCTCTACAAGTCTGCCTTAAATTGCACTATGGCTGTGGGGAAGACATGAGGAAAGAAAGGGGTTGCTGTTTGCATCCATTTGCCAGAAAGGAGTTAACAGAACATACCGCAGAACAGGTTGGGCAAGACTGTTAAAGCCAGTGATGAAGCCTTTCTCTCCCCCTCTCTTCACCTCCCCTCCCCCCTTCCCACTTTCCTCTCCCAGGAGTAAAACATCTTCAGACTGTCCCCTGCTCCCCCAGTCCCTCTCCCCACTTTGGTGTCTGACGTTCCTTCTCCGTGGCAGAACACTTGATGTGATGAAAATACTTTGTGGAGACGAGAGAGCCTGTGCGAGAGGCCTCAGCCTTGCCAGCTGTTTCTTGAGAAATCGATGGCGTGCTTGTCCTTGCCCTTCGTCATGTAACATAGGCCCCATTCAGCAGAGACATTCTTCACTGTGCAGTTATGCCTCTGTGGGCCTGTGGGGTGGATGGCCTGTGGGGGTGGGGAGTGGGAGGGGAGGAGGCGAGGTTAGGATGGAGACATGGAGGGCAGTGAGGGGGAGTCCCTCACTCTGAGTGCCAGCATGTCATGAGACCGTTGCTTCTTGAAGCTTCCGAAGTTAGCTTGGGCTTAGGGAATATCTTATGGCCATAAATGCAGAGAAAGCAAGCTCTTTCAAAGCCAGTTCTGGTCTGATATAAGTTCTGCGTGGTGTTTGTGTCTAATCCCTCTGTAAACATACCATATATAGTCATGCTTGAGCACACTATAACACATTGCAGGGAACTCTCCTAATGCACAGATCCTCTGGCGCTTAGAAGCCAACTCGGGCTATTTCTGGTGTGTCATGGCTTGCTTTTTTCTTTTTTGGAAGGAGGGGGAAGGGGCTTTTTCCTTTCCATCTTCACACTGTTTGAAACATGTTTCTGATCCTAGTGTGTCTGGCACTCTGAAAACTAAAGAAACTACTGTCACGTGAAAAGAAACTGAATTCTCTTTTTACATCTGTTTTAGAATAAAAACCTTGTTTCTCTTAGTGTCTTTCACACCACATGCGTTTTGTGTTTTATGGTCCCCGGTCTTCAACTGTTTGTTTTTGGAGCATCTTTTAATACTGTGAGGGTGAGCTCTGCTCTGTACCGTGCATTGTTGGTGGCCAGTGGAGAAGTGGCTTTTGTATACCCCTCTGTTTCCTCTCTGATCCTCCCTGAGCTGTCGTCGTGTGTTTACAACACTCCACCTTCGGATTGCCAGGGCAGAACACGCAGCTCTCTGCAGAACTGATGGCAGCCGTTTTCCACTTGGCAGGCCTGGGTCTGTGGAGCGGAGAGGAGACAGTAATAAGAAAGAAATGCAGTTGTTTTTTTTTTTCTTGGAATACCTAGGATACAGCTTGTTGGAGTGAGCAGCGGGAGGCATTTGTGGTTCAGATAAGCGACTTCTTCCTTTTCCTCCTCTTATTTTCTTTTCCTTCTTTCCCTGCTTCCTCCAAAGGCTATTGCTTTTATTCTTAGGCCACGTGTATAGGTAACCCGTGAAGAAAAAGTGGTTTGCGACGCTGGGATATTTGGGTATCACATAAAGAGACAAGATGGGCACTTTCTTTGCTTTGTTTTTTCATTGGCCTCATCAGAGTGAATTATATCTGACTGTGTGACAGTTAATTGTACCATCCTTCCCTTTTCTTAAGCTGATAAGCCCCTTTCTGTCTGCCTTCATCAAGCTTCTTTGTTTGAGAAGTTCCTAATGCAGTAGAAGAACAAAGTGACAGTTTTCTTATTTACTGAAGTCTCTAAAGCACGTTCATTATGCTCTTTATCATATCTTTTTTAGAACTTTCTTCCTTTAACTTATATAATTGAATCATTCCAAGTAGTACAAGTGACTGATAAGTTAAAACTTCCTTAAAAATACCAATGAGTCCAGAAAAGAAAAATTAAATTTTTTTTAGGCTATGTGTATTCATTTCAAACTATTAACAGTGTTTGATAGATGGTGTTCAGAGTAAGACACTGGGTACTGCCAGAGTGTCATTTACAAGTTTGGACACAGCAATTGATTAGTATTCAGTTGACTCAAAAGTAATATATCACTTATGTGGAGGTCACTGATTTCGAATTCTTAGGTGCAGAATATTCATGTGAGGGAGGGAGAACCAGCAGGGTGTGTGTTGGGGGGGTTGGGCGGGGCAGCGCTGAGCATGTAAAATAAAGCTTTCAAAAACCAGACAGGAGTAGGAGGTCCTGGATCTGACACTCCTACCCCTGGTTACCATTGGGGGAAATGGGGCAAAGTGATCAAGGAGCCCTGTTATTTTTTGCAATTGCATGGGTACCCACCATGATCTCAGTTAAAAAAAAAGCGTGGCCAACTAAGGCCATGTGGTGTAGGGGCAAAACTGAAGTAGAAGGGACGTTACACTAGTTTCCGAAGGCACCTTGTGTAATAGTTGTTCATTGTAATGATCCTGAGTCATCACCCAAAAAGGTTAGATTAATCATACGTTGATTCACTATGCTCTGCTTAAGGAGATGGGGAAGTTTGAAAGATACTTTAGAATGATTTACACCCAGGAGTTTTATATGGAAAATTAATTTCTGAATACTTCCCCCTACAATTCCTCTCAGTGATGTGCAGCTGCTTTATGAGTTAACATGAAGTGTTAGAATAAACCTTCCAGTGTCTTCAGATATATACTAAAATATTATTTATTTTGTCCAGATTTGCAGGGAAAAAAGTGATTCGCTAACAGAGTCAAATGACGTCCAAATACCTCACTAGGTTATCTGTATTCCTAATGTGAGTTGTTCTTTCCCTTTTTTGGAGGTGAGGAAGATTAGCCTTGAACTAACATCTATTGCCAATTTTCCTCTTTTTGCTTGAGGAAGATTGTCACTGAGCTAATATCTGTGCTGGTCTTCCTCTATTTTATGTGGGATGCCGCGACAGCATGGCTTGACGAGTGGTGCTAGGTCTGTGCCTGGGATCCGAACCTGCAAACCCAAACACTACACCATTGGGCCGGCCCCTATTCTTTCATATTTTTAACTGACAAAATACACAAAATGTCATGGATTTTTAAATGCAGGTGATAAGAGAAGACCCAACAAATCATGGATACCCTGGGAGACACAGTCTCTGTAGAAAAGGAGTTCCAAGCTTAAAGGAAGCCTTAGAAAACTTAAATATTTAACAAATTAACTTTAAACCATCAAATGACAAATGGAAGGAAGGAGTGGATTTTTACCCCTCGTCTCAACTATAGGCTCATTCTAAGAACCTTAGAATTTAGAGCTGGAAGGGACTTTCTAGGTCACTTGGTCTGTTTTTGTGAGTTTGCCTTCATTTTACTCCATATTCTTCCACAATTCATGTGTGTGTCCATGTCACCTGGAGTAGTGTCCATGTGGCTTTTTTGGCTGTGAGGAATAATCTTAAATTGAAAAATTAAATGTGCTTACTCAGCAGAGACTGTTATATTTTTTAGGTTATTTGTTAATTTTATTCTTCTCAGTATCTCCATTTTACAAATGAAGACCCCCATCGCATTCCATGGTGGTGGTACACCAAAATCTCTCTTGGCATTGCTAAGTATTTTTTGACATTTTTGTGGAAATCCTGGGGTTGAAACTCTCCTGGGTAGCTAATACTTACTGATGGTTCTCAGGCATTTTGATTTTATCTGTTTAAATATCAAGCATTTCGGGGCCTAAGTTTATTAATCATACTCATAGATGTGTTTTAAATACTCACATATTAGCTTATAACAGTATGAGATTTGTTTAAGTCTTTTGTGCACTTTCTTGCTGTAATGCATTGTTAACATATGAATAAGGGTGGTATAAACTTCTGCTCCTGATTCAAGTAGGGTGTGTGTGTGTGTGTGTTTTAACTAAGAGAAATCGTTCCCTTTGAAAGTGTAATTAGTTTTGAAATTTGTCTTCTGAATATCTTTGGAAACTATACCTCCTGATTGCCATGCTGAAGGTGGAAAGTATTCCCTTATGGTTAGATGTTTGTGACTGTCAGGAAAGGAAAATGTATATGAATTGCATATAAGAAATATGAATTACTTCTCTGGATGTTAGATGCTCACAGCACATGGAAAAGTAATAAAAACCACTGCTTCCCAGGAAGCAAGGAGCAAGTCTTCATGCTGACTTCTTAGGGTGGGGACAGCACAGAGAGGGCTTGCAGGAGGGATGTGGCAAAGGGTGCAAGGGTTTGTGTCTCATTCTGTGTGAAGCGATTGTAGCTTCCTGCTCTGGCTCTGTTTGAGATGATGTGCTTGCAGCATCCACTGGGTAGGCGGGCCTCAAGGACAACTGTTGAGAGATTGGGGTGGTGGAGCTGGAGGTGCAGGGGAGGGAAACACCCAGGCATGGATTGGAACAGCTGCTGGCTGCCTGGAGATCAGCCTCCATGAATCATAGGCACAGAGAATTCATCTGTGTGACTGGTGGCCAAACGTGAAGAAGGAAGGGAGCATGCTTTCAGTTAATACTCTGATGCCCCCAGAGCACTTTAAAGGCATGGCAGAAATTTGTTGGGCAGTTATTAGCATCTCAGTCCATAGCATTCATTGTTTGTTTAAAACCTTTTCCCCCTTCAACTAATCTTAATCTTTTATTTAAAGTAAATGCTGTCAGTCTGCTTTAAAAGCTGACTGAAATGGCTTTTACTGGACATTGCCTTATTTATAAGGGGTGGAGTTGAGACTCAAGGAGAAGAATTTGATCAATTGATTTAAGGTTGTTGGAGGATTGAAATGTTACTTGATTGCTGGTCTTATCCAGGATTTTGAGATTTCAAGGAAAAGTGGACAATGCCTGCTTTTATCCGAGGGATTTCAGCAGTCATATGATCTGCAAACCAGCCCCCAGGAGCAGCAAGTGCAGGCAGTCTCTGTGCTGAGGAGTCCGTGGAGAGAAGGAACTTCAGAGTGCGTGGGATATGCTGGTTTGGGAGTCATTTAGCCAAGAACTGATTTTGGTCATGGCCTTAGGTCTGCATAAAAGTTGCACATTGCAGGGACATGACATTTCTGTGGCCTAAGATTTATTTGGATGCAAGTTGGAGGAGGCAGCAGCAGTGAGAGCAAAGATGAGCAGCTGTGCTGATGAGTGCACTGCAATTCCCTGCTCTAGGAGAAGGTGGCCGGCCCGGCTAGGCGAGGGAATAGAGAGAACCATCTTGTTAAGCTCTCAAATAAATTCCTGACATGTGGACATGTGTAGAAGTCTGCAGACTCTCTTATGCTCTTTGGGCATAAGTAAATGGAAGGGAGCTTTTGGCTTTATAAAGCATAATGTTTATAAACTCCCAGGAATTTTACTATAGCTTGATTCTCTCATTATGAACATAAGTATGGAAGAAATGAACTGAGCAAGTTAGATTACAAAAATCACACGAGGTCACTTTTGTATGGATTTCGTTTTCTAAATGTGGATATTGCTATTACATTTCTCTTGCAGAATCACACACAATGACTCTGATTTGAGGATACATTATGAGTGTTGTAAAATGAACTTGCTAAATAACGGAGTTATCAGGGGCCTTACAGGAGAGTACTAGCAAGATGTGATGCTGAGTTTCTTTAGCTCTGTGATTTTTTTTTCCTGCTTTTTCTCCCCAAACCCCCCCCCAGTACTTAGTTGTATATTTTTTTGTTGTTGTGGGTCCTTCTAGTTGTAGCATGTGGGACGTGGCCTCAGTGTGGCCTAACAAGTGGTACCATGTCCACGCCCGGGATCCCAATCCGCGAAACCCTGGGCCGCCAAAGTAGAGCGTGCGAACTTAACGACTCAGCCACGGGGCCGGCCCCAGCTCTGTGATTATTAATAAACCCAGCTATTATCTGATTGCTCATTATTCCTGTTATCTCTGGTATCCTGAGAAAATGTGCCCTAGTGATAGCTGCTTAATGAAAAGTAAAGAAGTAGCCTTGTTTTAGTCTGTACAGGGAGACTTCATTGGTCTCCGTAATGTCTTAAAGGTAGTATGTCATATGAGTTTTTTGAAAATAGAAATGTTTAGTTTTTCAAGTTTTCTTTTTTTTTGATGATTTTTTTCATGTCTCCTGAAAGAAATGAAAAAAGAAAAAAATCCACTCACCAAAAAAACCCAATAGCTGAATAGCTATAAAACGTATTAGAGAAATTCAGCTTTTAGCATGGGGGCCTTTTTATTATTTTCAACTCTGATTTTACAGCTGAGTTAGAATATGTGACCAAATGCATCACGTGAATGTTTACTTTTTTTTTTTCTTTTTGGCCACATTGAAGTACCTAAAGAGATGGAATGTGACACACCCAGAGAATGAGGCGCTCAAGGGGCCTAGGAACTTGAGAAGGCCAGAAGCAGCGGGATCCCTTCTTGTCAACCTGAGCTTTGTCAGTGCTAATTGGGGAGGAGAGAGCTGCTGAACTCCTTTGGAGATGAGTTTTCAAATGTGTGTGTGTGTGTGTTTGTGTGTACACAAAGGGCTTGTTCTCCTGCCCTCTGTAGAAAGAGTTAGGGAGAATTCCAACAAGAAATTCCCCCACCCTTGAGATTGTTGTAGGTCCCACTCACCTCAAGTCCTCCTCATAGAGGGCCCTCCAGAGAAGTGCTGTTTTGTTCTAGAGACCAGAAAGGACCTATGTGATTCTAGCACATATTTCTAAATGCTGTCTACCTAGTTCTTTTAATTTTGTGTATTTCATACATTTCTAGTTTGTTGTTGAGTTGTTCTAGATTACAGTTTGTTTTGGCTGTCTGTGTGTTGGGGGGGTGGTGGTAATTTTTGTGGGAGGAGAATCTTTATTATGCTTAATTCCATATAGTCTGGAAGGTAGTATACTGTGGACAGCTCATTACCTGCATGTCTCACAGCTCTCTGGTATAGCTCCCTTCCAAGCAGTGACCCAGGGATCCAGGCTGCCCTTATCCTATATCTGCTTCCAGATTGCCACAGTAAGGAAAGAGCTAGCAGGTCACACGTCAGCTTTTAAAAGCTTCAGCCTGGAATTAAGTCACATCATCTTGGCTCACAGCCCTTGGCCAGAACTTTTCATGTGGTCTGCCACATGCAGAGGTATAGGGGTGCTACACAGTGTGGAAGAACATATGGATATTCTCTGAGCAGCAAACCTCTTTGCCATGGGCATATTTGCTACTCTCCTTTCTAATTTTATCTCCTTAAGGCTCACTGTACACATTTGGGTAAGGCTTAGGCTTGAAGCATAGAACATAAGGAGTTAACTGTTCCACAGAGCAGTAGTTATCAAAGTGTGATCCCCAGACCAGCAGCATCCACATCACCTGGGAACTTGTTAGAAACACAGATTCCTAGGACCCGCCCCAGACCTTCTAAATCAGAAACTCTGGAGATGGAGCCTAGAAAGCTTTTGTAGTAAGCTCTCTAGATGCATGCTAAAGTTGGAGAACCACTGCCCTGGATGAATGGAGTGTCTTTAGCACCTGTTGAACTGATCATTAGTGAATCAACCCTGAAATGCCGATATGCACTTGCCAGTATATTTGTGCAGTAATCATATGGTCGCTTGTGAACACAGATATGATAGTAGGAAGCACTTAGGGAGTCTTCACTATATGTCCCAGACCGTGTTTAAGCACTTTACAGATTTAAGTCATCTGTTTTCTCACAGCAACCATACGAACTATGTATTATCATTGTCTCCATCTTACAGATAAGGAAACTGAGGCAGGGAGAGGTTCCATTAACTGTGTAAGGGCGATGCTGCAAGATCAAGCCACTCATCACAGCTGGACAGTGGAAGATGCAGGTTTTGAACCCGGGCAGTGTGGCTCCCAAGTCCACTCCTTAACTGCTCTGCAGCTCTGCTTACTGATCTGGTAACCCACCAGGTCATGTGGTACTTTTTAACTTTTTCCTGAATGGAGACAGTCTGTCAGAATTAGCAGGAAGTGTGGTGTGTTGGTGGCAGTTCACATTACGAGTTAAGCCGCCTCACTACCAGCTTCAGTCGTTGGTGGTTTACGTGTGTGATGGGCTGGCTATGGTATTGGTCAATCCTGGAGATGCGTGGCTAGACAGCAGTGGCCCAGTTATTTAAAACTGAACAATAAATAGAATAGGGTTGTTAAGGGTAGAATTAAGTTGCTAGTGGGAAGTGTTTCTCAGAGTGAGGTAGTTGTCACACCAGAAGAGCATTTTCTTCAGTTAACCTACGTGTAAGCTTCAAGCTTATGAGAGAAGCCCTGTTCTCGTCACCTTCCCTTTTGATTCTTAGGTCTTTCATGTTTCATCATCTGCCCTCTGAGACACTGATCTGAGGCCTGATTCCATGAGGTGGTCTGAAGAAGGTTTCTGTTAAGTTTTTATGAGCAGGACTTGAGTCTTAATAAAGAAAATGTGTTTTTCCTTCCAAGAAAATTGATAAAGTTCTCCCCCTTCCACAGAGTTAGACACAATCTAATCTTTTGAATTTTGGACTGATTTAAAAGCATTTCCAAATGACATTGAGAACTGCTTTTCAAGCAGTTCTGTTTCCTTGCGTCCTTTAAATTTTTTTAATTATTAACTGCATTTTCTCTCTTCCAGGTGGGTCATTATTTGTTGCTGTTTGGGTGTACTTTGCTGGCCCATGCATCCCCTTGCCTTCTTTGTCTGTTGTGCTCAGCAGACTAGAACTGAGACAGCTCCTTGGCAGCTCTGTCCCGGACGGTACCAGCTTTGACTCTAGGTAGAGGATAAAGATAGCATCACCCCTTTCGGTTTTCATGTTGGCTGGGAACAGCTGCTACGCTTTGTATAGCTCTACACATAACATTTCATTCCAGAATTGCTGAAATTTTTAGTTTTCTGCAAGCCAGGGCTTAACCACGGGGTTTTCACATTCAGACTTAGAGTCTAGAATTTTCCTTTGAGAAACAGTTGCTTGTCTAGGAGTTTAGTAATTTAAGGGAATAGAGACGGTACAGGGGAGAGGAAGGAGGCTATTTGCACATGTTATTTGAAAGATCCAGTTCCTTCCTTTCCTCTCCCCTCATCACTTCCTTTCCCTTCATCACTTTAAATGGTTTAATTTGCTTAGGTGCGCTAACAGAGGTATAGATAATTGAAGTAAATCTTGAGTCAGATCTAAACAAAAGAAAGAACTGACCTAAAAAAGAGCAACTGAACTCACACTAATTGAATCACGGAGCCCTGTGCACAGATTTGCCCAGACCAGCCTACCCTGGAGAAAGGCGAGGACCCTTTGCTCTCGGTGGGCTCTATGCCTCCTAAGAACCAACTCCAGCACTTCCCTTGCGGATTTCCCAGCTGCATTCCTCACTGAGGCGCATCTGGGTTAGAGTTGCAGAGTTCAGCTTCAAAGAAAAAAAAACGTGAAAGCCATTTTGGGCTGGGTGTTTGGAAAACGTTTTCTCTTCTCTCGGAGACCTGGTGCCTTTGGTATTTGTAGATAGAATCTACTTGTTTACTGTTTAGGAGAGCAGCTACATGTGTGAATTGGGCATCTGTTGGAAGAAACGTAATAGGCTTGCCTCAAATAGCAGGAATAAAAGATGCAACCATTTGAAATAACACGGTTTTCCTCCCTTCTCCTAACCCAGCCATCCAGAGTAGGAAACAGGATGCCAGACTCACCCTGAGTAGGAGAGACTTACAGAGGGCCCCTTAGCTGCTTCCATGAGCCCATTCTTGTTCAAGAGCACCTTGAGATCACATGGTTATAAATACCTACACTAACTGAGGGCCCCCCTCTGTTAAGCGTCATCTTCCCTGGCTGCTGGGGAGGCCTTTATTTATCTCTGACTGCCACTGTGCTCCCTCCCACCAGCTCTCTAGGGTCCTTTGCTCCTTTTGTCTTCCTCCTACTCACAGCATAAGACCCGACTGCCTCTTTTCTTGATGTTACTAACCAGTAAAATATTGGAGTGCCTACTGTGTTGTCAAGATTAAGACCATCTAACTTTGAGCTTCCTTGAGCAATGCCTCAAATGTTCTTCTTTTTACTCTTTCATGTTTCCAGACTCAGAGAGTGATGCCCCTTCATTGCTAATGCTTTCACATTTATCTGGACACTCTCCTCCCTCCTGGAGACCTTATTCCTACCAGCCCTTATTCCTATCTCTGTGGCTTAAAATGGGTCTTCATTCTGGACCTTCTTATCTCTGAATTACATCAGCTCACCTGGCTTAGGCCTTACCTCCCTACAGAGGGAGGGATCAATCCCACGTGTACCCATTAGCCCCGATCTCCCACCCATATACTAATATCATAGCACTAAGACCTTCCCTTCTGAGTCCTCTCTCTTTCTTTACTTTCCAAGTGTTTAAAAAAGAAATTAGCCCAACCACTTACTGCTTAGCTCCCTCCAGTCTTTCCATTGTATATCCAGCCTGCTTCCAGGTCTCTGCAGGTCTTTGAAAGGTTTTGAGGTTTACCTGTCCCTCTCTATTCCCTTTGTTCCCATTTCTAGTCTCCCTCCCCTGCAGTACTATACCATGTTCAGACAAGTTTGCTTAAAACTCTGACATCATCCTCTCAGGCCTACACAGAGCTGACACCCCCTGCTGCCCCAGTCCCAGCTGTGCCAGCTCCCTGTGATTTGCCCCCATGCACCCTCTGTAAGCAGGACCTGGCCCCAGGGCTTCTGGTCTTTTCTGGGTATCAGCTCCTTGCAGCCTCTCTTCCACCTCTGATACCCCTCCAGTTACACATGCCAGTGTTTTTTTCTGGATTTAAAATTAGTATTGCATAGACAACATGTCATTCTCTTACCTTCCCGTGTTTTCTTCTTTTTTTTCCCTCACCTAGGTGGTGAGCTCTTGGAACTCCTCCCCCAACCCCCGGCCCTAAGACTAGTAGTACATCTATAGGACATGCATTTTTATCATGAAGTATTTGAGGGCCTTAGGTAGAGTATTTCCCCCCCAAATCATTTGAAGGGAGAGTACAGGTCCAATTTGTTTATTTTTTCAGACAGGTGGTTTTAAAAAAAAAAAAACGAAACACAAAAAACTTCTGACATTTTGAAGGCCGGAAAAAATTGGTTGGTTTTCAGCTTCAAAGGACACGTGAGAAAACAAGGACCAAAACAGTTTACCCCAACCAACACCTTTTAATCACAGTCCCTTTTCTCACTCCCCTGGTTGACTCTTGAATTTTATAGTTGATATAATCCTCCCTTTTATAGCCGATTTATTTTATTTATGCATTGCAATTTAAATAAAAACTGTTCCGTGCATAGACAGCCTCAGTTTTAATTCTTGGCTTCTATTTAAAAGGCTCGCTAACGCCCCCATTTCCTTTTGTTAATTGCAAAACAAACATCCTCCACAAGGGCTACCCTCTATTCTGGGACCCCTTTGAGATTCCCAGGAATTGCTGTGCTTGGGCCACATTTACACCCAGACGTGGATCTTACAGAAAACCTCCTTGCTGCCTTTGATGGCCTAGGGATGGTGATACTACACACTCAGAAAGTTTTAACCTTATAGTCAGCATCAGAAAATGAACTTGGTTCCAACAGTTGTTTCTAGAATAACTGGGGTACAACAAAATACAACTGGGGTACATAAATGCAGTGACATAGATGGGGCACACAATGATCTCTTTACCTCTGCTTCCTTTCCGTAGGATGAATTCTGTTCTAAAATTATAATTGTTTATAGCAGGCATTGGGAAATTGGGGGATTGATTTCACTAATTTTTACTGAGCTATTGCCATGTGTCAAATACTATTCGAAGTGATTTACATGGTTGCTCTCATCTTCAACAAGAAAAAGGAAGGTTTGAAATCTGATCAAATATATGAATTCTTTTCCCAAAAAAGTGAATACCACATAAAAATACAGTTTCAAGGGTATGAATCTTGTACTTGTCTGTAGAACAAGGCTTATCAGCTTGAGCATACCACCCCTAATTGTATAGAAGGAGCTAGACAGATGCCTACTGTGCCAGGCTCTGGGCTATGACTAAAGATACGTAAAGTGGGGGAGGGAGGGAGGAGAACAGTTTCACATCTTAAGAAGGGATGCAGTTTGATTATTTTCTTTTTTGTATATTTAAAAAAATTTTAAATAACAAGAATTAAATTTATAGTGATATTAATTTATGCTTTATTTTTTAAAAATCACTATAGTCCCATCACACATATTTCAGGTTGCATCTTCCATACTCTATCCTTAAATAACGTTATCATAACATCATAGAATGCTTAAATGTACTAACTTCTTTTTAAACTTGATCTAACTTTATAAACATTTCCTATGTTTTCACACACTGACCTTCATGTTTAAGGTGGGACCAGGGCTGAGCAGGTTTGGGGTAGATGGGACAGGGTGGGGATGACTCACCTAGGAGAAGTCAGTCTAGTTTAGGAGATGTCCTTCTATTGTTAGTTTCATGGGTTATTTCCCTTTATAGTTGAAACTGATAAACACTGGGAAGAATGAAGAATCATAGCATAGTAAGTTACTTCAGGGATCAGCTCACTCCCCTCCCATGCCTGCAGGTAAAACTATTCTCTGTCATCTTTATTCTGACCTTTGGGTTTAAAAACCCCAGGAAGCAAACAAATTAAGGACTACAATCTAGTAACCCAAGATTACTGGAGAAAAAAAAAGACCATGGACCTACACTATCCAGTACAACAGCCAGACAGCTGCTAGCCATGTGTAGGTATTTAAATTTAAATGGAACTTAAATAAAAATTTAAAATTTAGTTCCTTAGTCACACTAGCTTAATGTCAAGTGCTCAGTGGCCATGTGTGGCTAACAGAGAAGATAGGGATTATTTTCATCGTTGCGGAGCTTTGAACTGGACGTTGCTGCTCTGGATCTTATCAATTCAATAAAATATTTTACCTAGTATCTAACATGTTAGTTTTATATGATAGGCTCTTTGAAAGATAGAAAAAGATGGATTTTGTTTTTCTTTTGTTTTATATTTCTTAAAGTTTTGTGTAGGCTTGTAACCTGTAAACTAAGGCTTTTTAAGCACTTTCCGGCCCATCAGCCACTTGTGGCGATCAGTTTTGTTAGCAGAGTCCAATTTGACAGTGAATGAGTATGTGTACATGGCTACCTATGTTAGGTATTCTGTCAACCACAGTGTTTCATCTCCCGGGGCCTGGCAGCCCCCTGGCCCTCCTTTCCACCTCCCCTAGAACCCCATCTCCTTTTTCCCATCTGCTCCTTTCTGTCTATGGACATTCTTAGGTTTTCTTTTAAAGAGAACTCCTCGCTTAATTTTGCTCCTCTATAACTAGTCCCTTCCTGCTGTATTCTCTTTACTCTCTCCTGTCCTGCGAATTTTTTCTGCAACTCAGTTAAGTGCCTTGCCATCCACTCTGTTGCCAATGCAGGAAGCCCGGAGTCTCCTCACAGCCAGGTTGGTCCGTGGACCCCTGTGCTCCTCATATCTGTCCTTTAGACTGTATTGTAGTAGCCTCCTAACTGGGTTATATCCCTCTAATCGTCCATTTTTCAAATTGTTGCCAAGAACTTTTTAAAATATGGATATGATTATTTCATCCCACGGTTTAAAAAAAAGTGGGGGACCCTTCAATTGGTTCCCACAGCCACAGGATCAAGTTCATCCCTCTGAGATGGAACCTTGACCTCAGCATAATTGTGCTGGCCCCATCTTTGCCATTTCCCCCACTCTGCCCTCCCTCCTTTCTACAATGCACTGGTATCATCCCGTGGCTCCCAAGGGCTTTGTTTTCATGG